GGTTATGCATGGTTTTGGTTGCAGCGTCGCGCACAGTTTCTAAAATAGATTACATCACCAGAGACCCCCCACATGACTCAGACAAGAATGCAAGTGCGGTAGCTTCGCAGAGAAACGTATTACGAAAAAACTTTTATTATATAGACACGAGTGTTTTACTGGAAAATACTCCACTCGTAAAATTCATTCGAAACCACATCCGGGACTCACTCGAGTGGCGTATTTTCCATATCTGCTGTTTATCCTGGTCTTGAAGAGAAGACTTATCAGCTGACTTATTGCCCGAAATTCCCAAATTTGACAACCCGAGCCGTCCGCTCAAACGAGTACAATTGAACAGGAGGACATAATTAATATCCCTTAGACAATTCCAAATGCATAGCAGAATTAGGTGTACTGTGCAATTTGGAGGCCATAGTTTTTAATAGAGCCATTTATCCGACCACATAAACAAATCTGTGACTCTGAGCAGGCCTTGACTGCATATATTTCATTGATATGTTCGGCGCGATACGTGTAACATAAATAGCGCGGGCTAAAACTGTTTCTTATATGCGAAGACAGAGCGGGTCAGTTTCATCACGGCAAGGAAACGAATCGGATCGGATCTACGATATTTCTTTATAGTGTTTCTTTGCTGACTCGCTGGCTTTCTTGTGAGTGATACACCTGAATATCGGGTACAATTATAATATTTTTTTTCTGCTATGTAGGTAAGGAGTCTATTCATCATATTTACCGCCCTCCTTCAAACTCTGTATTATTATTATTAGTAGTAGTAGTAGTAGTATAATTTCAGAGCTAAACAAAGAGTTTCCAGCAATCTGATTGGTCAGGCGATTCCTTACATGACGCTATATTCACCGCTTCAGGCGTAGTCTCCTTCGCAGCCGTTGCGTGACGACCCTAATAACGGCTACGAAGGAGATTACTCCAGGCGGTGAATATAACATTTTTGAGGCCTGGTTACTAAGCTCGCCAATCTCGGCAAGTAAACGTGGCGGACAGTTGCTGAATCATTTTTTTTATTTATTCGAAAGACATCACTCCAAATCCAGGATATTTGGAAAGATGGAGAATTTTCAAAATGACTGCTGTCGCCCTTGGACCAAAAATCCTTTCAAGAACTTTGAAGGAATTTAAGAATCGCAAACGCAGTGGTTACGTTAGGCTCGATTACCAGCCGCTGTTCGGGAAAAGAGCCCGCGCTCCTCCCCCGAATTCACGGCTGGACTC